TAAGTCCCATGATTTTTGCAACGGACAATCAATTTCACATATTTTTTATTAACCAAAAGTGATAAGATAGTTATGGATTGTATTTGGATAGATAGTAAGTCCCATGATTTTTGCAACGGACAATCAATTTCACATGCTTAATTAACGAAAATATCACCATTATTAAGGAGAATATCCATTTGCTTAATTAACGCAAATTTCATGCTAAATTAACGAAATATCCACTGCCTTTTCACGATTTTTCTTCCGATTTTAAAGTAGAATACATAAATAGAAAGTCAAAAGTCAACTCAATTATTTTTAGGTTTCTAAAATGGGATTTTTACATCAACCTTTTTAGATATATATAGATTTCATTAAAAAATATGAAAATTAATATATTCGTTGGATTTATATCTTTAAAAATAAAATGTACACACACCTTTAGGGTGGGTTATTTATATAAAAAAAAAAATATATATATATATATCTGTGGCAAAAAATAAAAAATAAAAAAATGTGGTGGAAATCAATCAAACGGGCGGATTTTGAAAATCCGTTTTTCTAATAAAAATTTTATTAGAAAGACGGATTTTCATAATTTGTTTTTATTTTTTTTTTCTTTTTTTTAACGGTCGAATTTAATAAGAATAATAGTTCTAATTTATAACACGGATTTTCAAAATCCGTTTTTAGTAAAAAAAATAAAAATAAAAAAAAAACGAATAGAACGGATTTTGAAAATCCGTTTTTATTAAAAGAACGAATAAAACGGATTTCCAAAATTCGTTTTTTGGTTTATATAAACAATTACAACATCCTCCCCAGATCACTGCACGTTCTTTTGTTGGTTCATAAACATATTTTTGTGTCTTTTGTTCGATTTTCGGCAAATTGAATCTCCATTCAAAGGAAAAAAAATTTAACCAATCATCGGAGAAGAGGTTAGTTTTTATTTTAATGTAATGTAATATTACTTTTTTTTTTGTTTATGATTGTTTAAGATATATATTTAGTTAATTGAGTATTGTTTATAAAATCTTGAATGTTGGTTTATAGTTGTGTTAAATGGTTATAATTTGTTATTTGCTATTGTTTAGAAAATCTTGAATGTTGGTTTAATGTATGTTGAATATTTATCCGAATTGTTTATGAATTTGATGTTATTGTTGGATTATGGTGATTAGGGTTTTGATGGTGTTTTTGATAAATTAATTGACAATTTTGTTTTATTTTTTTGGAGTAAAAATATGATTAATTATATGTTGTTGTTGGAAATGAGTTTTAAATTTAGATTGATAAAATAATAATTGAAATTTTCTCGGGTGTTTGATTAGCCATTATGTGTTGTTATAATTTGTAAAATAGAATTTTATTTTTGTGCAACAGGTTATAAATGGCGTCTAATGGTCCCTACTTTGTTAATGTGTACTGAAAAATTCCCCAGAGTGAGTTATGGAATTTTTCGAATTATATGTCTCGTCCGGATTGTTCATTTGTTATTAATGGAATAATATCATATGAACAATTGGTAGATATGATTTACGAAAATGGTGGGTTTCGTGATAGTTGGACAATTTCGGATATTACTTTGACGGCGAGACAACAGGATGGTTCGTTTATTCCCGGAAGACTGAATAATGATAATTCTCTTTCGTGGATTTACTACTTTCTTCCTATGTCCTATGTGTTTTTGTATATAGTGTTGGAAGCAAACACACATGTTACACAGGTTGAGGATCCTACGCCATCATATGGTTATGAGGGAATGTTTGGTGGTGAGGGTACGTGGACTACGCATGTCGGTAATTTTGGTGAAGGGACGAGTAATTTTGGCGAAGGAACGAGTTTTACCATGAGAGGACCGGACATTGAGGAAGAAATTGTTGGACATGAAGATTTCAGTCCCCGGGAAGATGATTTCACTGATGAGACCTCGGAAACCGAATCAGACAGATCAATTAATGTGGAGAGCGAACAAGAATTCATTGAAGAACACCCCTTTCCAAATGAAGGCCTCAACGTATATCGCGAGATGGGTGAGTGGGACTCGTCGTGTATAGACAGGGACGAGTATGCCTTGCCAACCTGGAATGGGCATGTCGAGACTATCCGTTTGGGTACAGTTTTTCGTACCAAGGAAGAAGCCCAGATTGGTATTAGTGCCTGGAATGTTGAGAAGCTTAGAGCGGTCTGGACAAAAGATTCAAACAAGAAGTCGTTCAAAGTTGTGTGCAGATCAGATAAAGTTGTACCATGTATATGGAAGGCCCGGGT